TAGTTTAATTTTTTTTTTTTTTTTTTTTTTTTTTTTTAACCATGTCCCTTTAGGTGCTCCGTAGCTGGATGCCTGAGCTACGCTACTATAAGTAGTTAATTAGGGTCTTTCAATATAAGATTTTAATGGTTATAGGGGAACTTCACACACATAATCATATATCTGATAACTTACCATAGAATGAATTTTTACATTGCGGTTGACATGTTATGACATTTGAGGTAAAAAGGGAAATTTTAAAGTTTGTAGGCGAAATGTCTTTACATTTGTGTTTAAACAGATTTTTACACTGTGGGCGATTTTTTATTTTTATTTATTTTTTCTTTTTTGACAATGTGGTTATTTTTACCTTTGTGGTTGACACAATTATGACATTTGCGGTTATTTTTGACATGTGAGTATAATGTTTTGACATTTATGGTTATTGTTACATTTTGTGGTGGATGTTTACATTTGTGGGCTCTACACGGTCACTCCTTAGAGTGCATACCTTCGATCGTGCTTGAATGCCAACAATATGCAGGCCACGCCTGGGTTCGAATCCCACCCCCTTATTTTGTTAGCTTAATAATGATTTAGGACGAGGTGGCGCCGAGTGATTATTGCTATGGACTGTTATATTAATATTATCTGCACTGTGATTCGAATCTTATCGTCCTTGTCGTTTTTCCGTTGAATATTGTTATTTCTATTTCGGCTAATTTAAACAAACTGTCTTTGTAGGTGTCATGACGTGAGGACGAGGTGGTCCGAGTAGTTAAGGTAATGGACTGTTAATCCATTTTTCTCTGCACGCGTGGTTTTGAATCAGTTCCTCGTCGTGTTTTTATGTAATGTAACACGTTTTTGTTATGGATGATTATTTTTATGAAGGGATGCTACACAAACTGACAGTTTCAGGCTTCGTGTAAGGTTTACGTCGGAGGACTGCTAATCTATTCTGTACTACACGCGTGGGTTTAAATCTCAACCTCGTCGTTTATATTTTTCATTTTTATATTACTGTTATTGTCATTTTGGTCTATTGTAGAATAAGGCGATGGACTTATCCATTGTGGGTTCGATAATATGCTATGCATACGTGGGTTTGGTTATATTTTTATGTAGTTAAAACAAATACATATTTATTTATTTCCATTATTTTCGGTTTCTACGGTTTATTGATAGCTAACAGATTTGGGTTACAATTTTATTGTCCTTCAATGAAAGAGAAAATTGGTTACTTGTAAAACGTATTAAACAGAAACAATTTTATGACAAAGGATGGATGGATGGACAGATTTAATCGGTGTAAACAACAAGGATAACCCACGAAAGTCTCTTTTCAAAAGATAGGCCTAGTCATTTCTACCTAGGAGATAGCGGCTAAACTACATTTCGATCTAGTCATACTCTATATTTCTTCTCTTTTTATCTCCTATGCGGAGCTCTTAAACACTCGGCTAATTGATTAATACATTTTTTCAATGGGCGGCCGTTAGGGCCAATATACTCTACTGCCCCAGAAGCTCAAGAAACACTCAGCTGATTGAATAATAGACATCTTTAGGTCCGCGCAAGCGAAACTCTGAACCTCATTCTGAATTGTTCCTGTGCTAATTCTTGTTGTTTAGCTCCAATGAGGAGCTCTAGAAATACTAGGCAGATTGATAAATCTGATTGATTACTATACCTTGATTGTATGGGCGGCCGTTAGGACCAATACTCTAATGCCTTCATCAGAGTTCGAGATTACGAGAACTTTGAAGTGCAATAAAGTGTGAAATACAAATTTGAATGGAGTAAGCAAATAGATAGAAGAGTGTATTTTTTTTTTTTTTTTTTTTTTTTTTTTAATAAAAAACGGTAGTGAATATAAAACACCAGGAATAAAGGTATTCTTTTGCTTTAAATTTTAATAACTTTAACAGTTTTGGGTATTACATCGCCTTTCATTAGGTTACAATAGTACAAGGTAGCCTGACAAAATAACATAGGCCTAGGGCTTATCATAAATTAAGAATGTTAAGACGGATTATTAATATGTAAAATTGAAAAAAAAAATGCAAATGTTAAAGACCTACGACAGATAGAAGCAGACTAATCAAATTATCAAGGTGAACATTGAATAAATGAATGAAATAAATGAATGAATAGATAAATAAAGGTAAAACTGCAATTTTTCTTTTTCTTTTTTTTTTTTAAACATCGGAAGTTGTTATAAAAGAATTTTTGAATTTACTACATGGAATGTTACAAATCAAACGATACTTACAATGTTCCGTAAAAATGAAATACTGGTCTCTCTCTAATTAAAGACCACTTTTGGAACCATACCGGGGTTTCCATAATCTTTAGCAGCTTTGGTCTTCAATGTAATTAGAATAATAACGATAAAATACATTTGTGATAATTTAGGACCACAGAAAAGTGGTCTTTAATTGGAGGTGGTCTTTAAATGGAGGGAAACCTGTATTCGTAAAGCAAAACTAAATACTGTATCACCAAAAAAACCCACACCTTAGCATAAAAAATACGGTGTATTAGTGTAGTATGTCATATTTTTAATGTGAACTAGAAATCATAGGTGTTATATCAACTCCGTATTATGATAACACCAACAATTATTTACATTATTGACATTATTTAACTTTACAAGGAGCTCAAAAAGACAACATCCCATTGTTTATTGGTGTATTATGCTATTTATAGAGTTATTATGAACTATTAAAGATAATTGGGCAAGACAACAACGTGAATTTTGCGCTCAAAATGGCAGCATGAGCGCCAACGTAGCAGGATTGGATGAAGCAAGCAACACGTCAATATTCGATGCATACAGTACAGATTTTTGTTTCGTAACAGGCATTTTGACGTTGTATAGGCCTAGGCTTAACATCCCCGTAAAGTTTCTACGCATTCCTTTAATCATATTATGATGCAGCAGCTACTTAATGTACGGTAAAGGCAGAGAATACTTCACCATCGTAGCATCGAGGTTTCTTGCAGAATGCCAATCAAGGTCCTTCTCGACCGACTGTAACCAATGTGAACTAAGGGTTTTGGGACACTTTGGATCGAACCAATACGTGCAACTGTGCTTAGCCCAGTGTTCTTCAATAGCGAGCGCCCTCTGTTTGCTCAGATCGATACAGGTTTGTAAAACTTTTTGTGCTTTGGTTCGTTGGTTGTCAAGCATCAGACGATAGGCTCGAAGGTGCATCAGTCGTGGTTTCAAAACTGGGAACAATTTAACTTTTGACTTCAGCTTTGAAAAGATCTAAAAATCAAACAAAAAGCACAAATTTACATAAGGCCTATATATACATTTTTAATAGATTATTCATGGTATAATTTGAAAACATATATTTTATATATACATATATATATATATATATATATATATTTTTTTTTTTTCTTTTTTTTTTCACAAGGCGAAGTTTGAGTCACACTGTAAGACAGAATGTCGATAATTAGATAAGAGCTCTGGGACTCGATACAGTGTTGATTTTCTTTGACAGAAATATTGAAATTTAGGCCTACTATTACAAATCCTGTCACGCCAACATTGGTCAGGGCCAAAAGCAATCCGACGGACCAAGTTTTACCTCCAAAATCCATCGGCTGGACTACTTTTGCCGCTAATGTCTGTTGTGACTCACCTTATCAACTTGTGCGTTTTCCTGCCGACCGCTGCCGCCTTCCTTCAGCGCACGACATACATGCAGTAATCTGCATTCTAAAACTTTGAAGTTTGACTGTACAGTGACTAAAGTTGACCGTTGGTGGTGTGGTGCAAGTTCATCATACATTTCCATCCATCTAGACGCCTTCTCCCAATTTCCTTTCCTCGAGTACCTGATAATAACAATATGCACGACGATAAAAAATAAATTAACATGTCCAATAATTAACGCTTTAAAGAATTGGTTTTTTTTTTTTGTTTTTTTTCTGGGAAATCGATTACGTGACTCTCGGAGGATTGTGTCGGTTACGTCAGTATGTCTATGCAATTTTACAATAGAGTGTTCTCATTAATTTTTACCCTTAGATAACTAGTTGTCTCAGGGTAGTCCAACTTTGTGGTTTAAACATGAAAACACGTTTACCATACATGAACTAAAACCAAGGACTTTTATAGAGTCCTTGCTACAACAACCATAACAAGACGGCACACACCTACCGCACTGAGTTAGACAGTGAAATATTAATGAAATAATTATAGGTTGGTAAGTTTTACCATTTCCGTACACAAACACATATCAAAAAAGAAATAATCCTAGTAAAGCTGGCCTATTTTTAATAATCGACCGTGGTCTAGGCTGTAGGGTGGACACAATTAAGCCTTTTTACACACTAATTTGATTTCGAATCAAATAAACAGAATGGCTTGAATTTCTCACCATAATGCTAGGCAGGTAATTAGGTACAATCTTGGAGTGGTGTCGACGGAGAACGCTTTTTCGCTCATGGCTCGGGTACAATAGTCGATGCACGTGTTATGATCTTCCAAAGTAAAACCTACATTAAAAAAAAACAACAACAAAATCACACGTTTATAGACAGCATCGCATTTAAGAATACTGGGATTAATTACCGCAAGTGGGGAGGGAAGCTAAAGACTAAGTGAGGTGAGTTAGCTTGCAAGAAATGTGTCATTAGGGGATTTTAACCCACCTGAAATTATTTTTCTGGCACAACAAATTTACAGCAGTGGGTGGGGGTTATTTTTTATTAGGGGGAGAAGGGTGGTTGGGAGCGTATACAGATTTCACAGATCAGACTGCGTAAGTAACGACTAGATTTTCCGTTGACCAACAATGTACTTAAATTGTATTTAGATACAGTAGTAATAATAAAACCGGTCTAATACTATATCATCAGCAGTGTTCATTATAAAAACTGCAGTGTTCACGCCACCATTAGCAGCCACTGTCTTTCAGTCCATATTCGACTACCATGTTTATTAGTGTTATACAGGTAAACATTCACATCTCTTTCGACTTATTTTTAGTAGGCCTATACCAAAATACCGTCTTCTAGAATCATGTCTGTAGAATATACAGCTCTGCAATCTAGTGACAAATTCTGTCCACTAATATGGGTATGGTGACGTCATCTTTTAAAATTAATTAATATGACAGTATAATTTTACCGGCTTCAAGCAGAAGGTCCATACAGCCACAAAAATACCAGCCAACAGACACGTTATTCTCCTCCTCGTCAGCGGCATATCGCAGTGCTTCCAGGTTCTCAACGCACGGAGTTAACCTGGAAAATGAACAGGACCACCAAGAAATTAAATAATAATGGAATTTTCTACTATCAGTACTGTGTCGAGTGTATGACGTTACTGATGATATCACGATCCTGGAAAATATATAAAAAATAACTTTATATGAAAATAGATTTAATTGGGAAAAAAAAAAATCTTAAAAAACGACATTCAACAATTACAGACTTAAAGGCCAATGATAACAATACTCAGTACCGCATTAATAACTTCGGATTCTCTTTAGCGTTTCTTGTTCAGAGTTGTTTAAACTCGATTGTTTGTAAATCTTTCAGTTATCATGTATTACAGCGTTTAGATATTTATATCTTTAGACATTTTCTGTGTATTTTCAATTCAACTGATTTTATTTTAGTTGTGAATAAACGTATAATGTATCGTAATATTAATTGCATTATTTATAATACAATTAAAAATAATAATACTCAGCAGTTTTTACCCCGCCAATTAAAAAATTATCAAAGTTTTATTAAAAAGCTTTAGAATAAAAGAACGCAAAATAGCAATGCAAATACACAAACAAATAGCAATAATATCTATTGCAATGACACATAATGCACCTACCTGTTGGCCTGCAGTAATGCTTGTGCCAAAGTTGGTAACGCAGCTAATTCTAGGTCAATGTTATGGAGACGTTTAGCAATACGAAGTGCACTATAGCCTACAAGTTTGTAAATAATAATAATAATAATAATAATAATAATAATAATAATAATAATAATAATAATAATAATAATAATAATAATAATAATAATAATACTGTTGTTAGCGATTATAATTACATTATAATTACATCTAACTATATTTTTGTAATATGGATTAATCGTCTTTACCTTTGGACAACATGAAAATAATAACATTATATTAAAAAAAAAAAAAAATACTGAGAAACTGATAATTCAAACCCACGCGTGCAGATCACAATGGATTCATGGCTTTAACCACCTGGCGACCTGGTCCTAACGGAAACTTAGACACAGACAGTTCGTGTACAACATACATGAAAAAAATAATCCATAACATTAAAATTCAAGACGGATGAGTTCGAACGCGTGTGCAGAGCACAATAGATTACCGTAGTATCGCCTTAACCACTCGGCCACCCTGTCCTTCCGCAAATCAATAAGTACAAAGTTTGTTTACAGCATCCCTACATAAAAATAATAGGCCTACTTCATAAATAAATGGAAACGACGAGGATGGGATTCGGACCCACGCGTGCAGATCACAATGGTTTAGTAGTCTATCGCCACAACCACTCGGCCACTTCGTCCATACACAAAGATTGAAATAGACAGTTTGTTCACAACATCCCTACATAAAAATATTAATTCATAAATACATAAATAAAAACGCGAGTAGGATGGGATTTATACACACGCGAGCAGAGAACAATGGATAAGCAGTCCATCGCCTTAACCACTCGGCCACCCCGTCCTTACACCAACCCTGAAATAGACAGTTTGTTCACAACATCCCTACATACCAATATTAATCCATAAAATGCATACAAAAGCGCAGAGGCTGGTATTCGAAAGCGCGCGTGCAGAGCACAATGGATTATTTGTTCATCACCTTCCACTCGGCCACCTCGTCTTTACACAAACCCTGAAATGGACAGTTTGTTAACAACAATAATACATACAAATATTAATCCATAAAATACATACAGAAACGACAAGGATGGGATTTAAACCACGCTTGCAGAGCACAATGAATTAGCAGTCCATCGCCTTTTAACCACTCGGCCACCTAGTCTTTACTCAAACCTTGAAATAGACAGTTTGTTCACAACAAATACATACAAATATTAATCCACAAAATAAATACAAAAACGATGGGAATGGGATTCGAACCCACGCGTGCAGAGCAGAGTGGATTAGCAGTCCATCGCCTTATTACGAATCTGTCTTTTTTTATATATATAATATATTACATATTAAAGATAAAACCGTCTATAATAAGCCGAACGAAAGGTGAAAGAATCTATCTAAATAAACTGCTTACTTTGGCTGTTTTAATATATTAGTTTTCAAATAAATATTATAATTAAAATAAAAGAAGATAGAAACCATAACAACAACTAAACGGAACTGCATATTTACAGTTCATACTATTTAGTATAGACGCCTAATGTTTACAGCAATCAGTTTAAAGCCCTGCCTAGACTAAAACATATAGGCAAATCATGACAATTATTATTATTATTATTATTATTATTATTATTATTATTATTATTATTTTTTTTTTTTTTTTTTTTTTTTTTTTTTTTTTTTTTTTTTTTTTTTAATTTTTATTTTTTATTTTTATTTTTTTTATTTTTTGTCAAATAATAGTCAATAAGCGGGAAGAGCTTTAGAATGCTTAGTGCTTGTAAAGAATTGAATGTTTATCTGTGTTTTATTCGAAGTTAATTAGTAACTCTTTTGCTTTCCTGAAGGACATTTATATTTTCTGATACTTGAAGGTTTGTATAATCATAATTATAAATTAATTTTTAAAACATAATATTAGTTTGGTACCAACGTAAAAAAAAAAAAAATAGTGTGCTACAATAATTATGTTGTTTATTTGTATTTTAATGGTAACTACACCATTTATTTATTATTTAAAAAAAAACCTAGATATTTAGTATGGTTGGAGGTAAGTAATATGCGAAACATATCAATACAGATAAATATAAAATATATGGCGACGAGGATGGGATTCGAACCCACGCGTGCAGAACACAATGGATTAGCAGTCCATCGCCTTAACCACTCGGCCACCTCGTCCTTACACGAAGGTAGAAATAGAGTCTGTTCACAACATTAATACATACAAATATTTATCTATAAAATACATACAAAATCGACAAGGATGGGATTCGAACCCACGCGTGCAGAGCACAATGGATTAGCAGTCCATCGCCTTAACCACTCGGCCACCTCGTCCTTACACAAACCATGAAATAGACAGTTTGTTCACTACATTAATACATACAAAAACGACAAGGATGGAATTCGAACCAACGCGTGCAGAGCACAAAGGATTAGCAGTGCATCGCCTCAAGCACTCGGCCGCCTCGTGTTTACACAAACCCTGAAATAGACAGTTTGTTCACAACATTAATAAATACAAATATAAATCCACAAAATAAATACAAAAAAACGACGATCGGATGGGATTCGAACCCACGCGTGCATACACAAATTCTGAAATAGACAGTTTGTTAACAACATTAATACATCTAAATATTAATCCATAAAATAAATACAAAAAACGACGAGAATGGGATTCGAACCCACGCGTACAGAGCACAATAGATTAACAGTACATCACCTTAATCACTCAGCCAACTCGTCTTTACACAAACCATGAAATAGACAGTTTGTTCACAACATTAATACATTCAAATATTAATCCATAAAATGTACAAGAACGGGATTCGAACCCACTCGTGCAGTACACGATGGATTAGCTGTCCATCGCCTTAACCACTCGGCCACCTCGTCCTTAAACGAACGCTAAAATAGACAGTTTCTTTACTACATTAATACATACAAATATAAATCCACAAAATAAATACAAAAAACGACGAGGACGGGATTCGAACCCACGCGTGCAAAGCACAATGGATTAGCAATCTCTCGCCTTAACCACTCGGCCACCTCGTCGTTACACAAACGTCGTTATTATGAAATTTGTTTTTTCTATAATATATTACATATTAAAGATAAAATCGTCTATAATAAGCTCAACAAAACGTGAATTCGGAATCTATTAAAATAAACTGCTTACTTTCGCTGTTTTATTATATGTTTTCAAATAAATTTTATAATTAAAATAATATATATATATATTTTTTCAGAATATATATATATATATATATATATAATCTTTGATTATTTATATATTATTATATATATATATATATATATATATATTTGTAAAATAATAGTCGATAATCGAGGGAAGAGCTTTAGAATGCTTAGTGCTTGTACACAATTGAATGTTTATCTGTGTTTTATTCGAAGTTAATTAGTAACTCTTTTGCTTTCCTGAAGAACATTATTATTTTCTGATACTTGAAGGTTTGTATAAGCATAATTATAAATTAATTTTCAAAATAAAATATTAGATTGGTACCAATTACGATAGAATATATAATATTACAAAAATAATTAGTGTACTACAATAATTAAGTTGATTATTTGTATTTTCTGGTAACTACACCTTTGGTTTTATTATTCAAAAACAAAAAAATTGATATTTTGTATGGTTGAAGGTAAGTATATGCAAAACATACCTATATAAATAAAAATTTTAAAAAATGGCGACGAGGATGGGATTCGAACCCACGCGTGCAGAGCACAATGGATTAGCAGTCCATCGCCTTAACCACTCGGCCACCTCGTCCTTACGGGAACAAACTCCACGCAATACATGGCCAAATACAAATGCATACAAATAGCCGATTTGTTTATATTTAGATTATACACGCCTTATGCGTTCGCTGTGACGTCAATGTATAGGTCTAATACCAGGACATTGTTCTCGCACAGTCTTCAATGGCAAAGTTCATTCAACCGTTAAAATCAATACTCATTTCCTGCCAGTCCCACAAACTCGAAATGACTGAACCAACCAGTTGGTTGCCAGTCTTCTATCGCACCACACACACAAAAAACAATAGTTTGTTTCTTATACTAAATATCACCTAATTATTTTATATTCAGTAATTTATTCATTCTTTCATTATTAATTTATTCACCATTCATAGTCAAAGATACGTTATCAGAACACGTTATCAGAAATTTGTGATAGATTGGCAACGCCGTGGAATAGAATATATTCTAAATTTACAGCATGTATAGGCCTACATTAATCTTTGGCCTGAAACTTATATATCAGCAATGTGACAAAAATAAAATGTACAAAAACAAAATCGACGAAGATGGGATTCGAACCCACGCGTGCAGAGCACAATGGATTAGCAGTCCATCGCCTTAACCACTCGGCCACCTCGTCCACATGTATATTATTGCAATCCTAAAATTGCGTCGATATTCCATCATTATTTTTGTGTGATTAACCCCCACCCAGCATACATTTTTCTACATTTGGCGAAATTAAATTACAAATTAATTTATTACTTTAAACAGAACGACCGCTTACTTTAGAAACAAAGTGAATATTAATACTGTATTAGACAGTGCACACAGTTAAACAATTATAGATAGGCCTAGTAAGTGACTGATTTTTATATACATTATAATATACACGGCCATATTATTTAAAGCTTCAAATCGGTTGTTGTTATAACCGAAACATGTAACCAAAGTAAACTTTGAAGATTACCAAAATAATTGATTGATTGATTAATTATTTATTAATTTTTTATTACTTAATTACTTATTTATTTATTATTCATTATGATTAATTAGTTACTTTATTCATCTATCCTTTCAGTGTTTGACAAAACGAAACAAATGTGAATGGTATTTGGAATCTAATAACTTAACAATACATGAATATTACTACTAGTACTAATATAAAATCTCTGGATAAAATTTTAAAATAATAAAGTAAAACGGCGTTGGGGTTAAGCATAGGCTGATACAAGGAAGGGGGAAGCCGGCCTGTTCCCCATTACCTATGTTTTAAAAAGAGAAAATTATACTTAAATTAATGTCTTATTGTGCCATTTTTGCCATCTACAGGCACCGTAATCATAAAATGTTGCACCTTGCCCCATCGAATGTGGTCTAGCACCTGCATCTGTCAACTACCGCACCTCTCCGAGCCCCCTCTATTTCGAATTCTTGGATCCTCAAGCATTAAGTAGCCTACAAATTGTATATTTTACACACCTGCATCGATTGCTCCTTGTAGTCTGCCGTTACCAAGTCGTAAGTTCGAGCTTGAACTGTACAGGTGACCGACCGTGATGACGTCATCCGGACCGAAAGTACCCGGACCTTCAATACACCTAGGAAGTATTAAAAAGTAATAAGTATTGCTTTCCATTAAGTAATTACAAAGAAATGACAAAAATAAAATGACATAGAAGGTACAAAAAACAAAATGAAAGATCAAAGAACATCAAAAACACTCATTACCATTCATGAAATTAAACATGGATGACACTTTAAGACTACCTATATTGCATAACGATTGCATCATTAGTGTTTATCGATCTAACGTAAACTAGGTACAAGTCATGTGATAGAATTATGAAAGGCTGAACTACATGATAAATGAGATAACAGTTAGTTAAACGATCATAAATCATTACAGTAAACGTACTATATTTAGGCCTACGATTATTCCATGAATGTCAAATACGATTACTATCTAACGACGTAAGTCTTTAAAAAGTATACCTATCTACATGATGAAGGACGTTCTAAGTAAATGATAATCATTTGTCTCTTAGCTTTTTTTTTTTTTTTTTTTTGGTCGTTTATTCCTTCAAATTGATTTCTTGATTGATTAAATTCGTTTAATTTATTCATTTATCCCCTACAGTCATTCATTTAGTACAAGTTTTAATAATAAGTTGTCTCTTTGTTATTTTTTTCGGTTGGTTGTTCCTTCAAAATAAATAAATTTCTTGATTCATTCATTCATTTAATGATTTCATTCATTTACTCTATATAGTCATTTATTCAGTACAGAGTATTACGTACTAAGTTTTAATAATCATTTGTCTCTTAGTTTGTTCATTTTTCGGTCATTTGTTCATTAAAATAAATTCATTAAAAAAAATTAATTCATTCATTCCATTCTTCCACGCATTTATTAATTGATTCAATAATTCATTTATTATTAATTTCTGCATTTATTTATTCATCTATTCACTAATTCTTACATTCATTTACTCATTTCTACGTTAATTAATTTACTCATTCATTAATTTATTCATTCAATTAGGTCCATTAACTCAAAATTTATTATACAATAATTTATTCATTCGTTCATGCATTTCAGTTTATGTTTCTTTTACTCAAGTCAAAATCACAGCCAAGGCTGAATTATATAATATTTACGAAAAATGTAGGCAAATATTAAAATATCAAAACATCAATCAAACACACAAGCACAAAACATGAAAAATGGAGATAAAAGTGACACTGAAAATACATTAAAAAGTACAAACAGGATGCATTATTCGTTTACTTGATTGATTGACTCACTGATTGATTGATTGATTGATTGATTCATTCATTCATTCATTCATGCATGAATACATGCATTCATTCATTCACTCATTCATCTATTCATTCATTCACTCCCTAATTCATTCATTCATTCATTTTGTATCGAATAACTCACGTTAAATACTCAAGTCAAAATCACAGCCAAGGCTGAATTATATAATATTTACCAAAAATGTAGGCAAATATTAAAATATCAAAACATCAATCAAACACACAAGCACAAAACATGAAAAATGGAGATAAAAGTGACAGTGAAAATACATTAAAAAGTACAAACAAGATGCATTATTCGTTTACTTGATTGATTGACTCACTGATTGATTGATTGATTCATTCATTCATTTATTCATTCATGCATGAATACATGCATTCATTCATTCACGCATTCATCTATTCATTCATTCATTCATTCACTCCCTAATTCATTCATTCATTCATTTTGTATCGAATAACTCACGTGTTCATTCATATGTATACATTCATTTGAACAACATTTTAACTATACTAACCCGTCCAACAAGAGGCTATCAATCCTCAATATTTAAATGTTGGAAACTTTTGAGCCAAAGCATCATTAAAAACACAAATATGTTAGAAAAAGGAGAAAATTACCTTCTCATTGCCATCCGCTCATAAAAATCACCAAGCCTCGGCCACTGGAATAACTGACAACACTCCATTATGCTCCTATATGCAGTTATCAACTGATGCGAAGATAACATTAATGATATTTATGAGAGAGCTTGTTGTGAATTTTGGAGAATTTAACTACCTAATTTATTCAAATAAACGCTTCGGTTTGAAGAAGCGCCCCCTCAAAAAAACCCCTCCCTTTAGAGCCTCATTTAGAATAAACGCCTCCACGAAGTAAGCGTCAAAGGCGTTTATTGTGTTCTAGAATTAATTCACTCTCCTCCCTCAATCATACCTCTATCCAAAAAAAAAATAAATTAAAAACTTCTAAACAAACCCAGGTGCATCTGATAGGCTTACATGCTAAAATCAGAAGCCACTTTTGAGGAGGATTATGAATGTTACACAAGTGGGTAAGGGGAATTAAACATGACAAAAATAGATCTAAAAAAAAAATCGACGAGGATGGGACTCGAACCCACGCGTGCAGAGCACAATGGCTTAGCAAACCATCGCCTTAACCACTCGGCCACCTCGTCTTGTTGATGTCGCCAGTATTGACTTTTGTTTTAAAAAAATACCAGTTTTTTGCAGAGCGTAATTGCATCGATATTACATCATTCTGTACGATGATGACCTACGACCTATAAGAGTAGGCCATACTCTCGTCGATCATTCAGGTGAAATTATTTTTACGCAAATAAATTTTAATTCCAATAACAATACCGGTACTTCAGGGATTGATAGTTTATTTATTTGAGGCAAAGTAAAATTAACTTAAAAGTGCTACTTCTATTTAATAATAATAATAATAATAATAATAATAATAATAATAATAATAATAATAATAATTAATAATTCTGGATTTATATAGCGCCTCCCGTTGACACAACCTCGAAGCGCTATAAATTTGAATTTGTACGGCACACAATATTATGTAAAACTTTCGGGGGTGTCAAACTGACTGTGTTATGTAATAGGCTAGCCAGGATTATCATCATATCGCCTTGTGCAGTGGCCGTCTTGTGACACCCTCTCGAAACACCCAAGGGCCGGGCTTAGCGGACGGTCAATTGTATGTAAATACCAGTGGCAGATCCATGAATATAAAATAGACAGGGTCCGGGCTAATATGACATAACAAATTGGAGGGGAAAAAAGAAAAAAAAAAAGAAAAAAAGAAATCGACGAGAATGGGACTTGAACCCACGCGTGCATAGCACAATGGCTTAGCAAACCATCGCCTTAACCACTCGGCCACCTCGTCTGGTTGACACTAAAACACTGGCTTCTCTAAAAAAAAAAAACACGTGAGTCTATTGCAGAGCAAATATTGCATCGATATTACATCACTTTGTATGATGATGACCTACACTCTATAAGAGTACACTTAGTCGATGATTCAGGTGAAAATATTTTTACTAAGTAAATTATTGATTCATACAGAAATAGCACTTTAGACTAGCTGAATATTTATTTGAGCACAAAATAATTTAAAAGTGCTGCTGTTTTAATTTGTACTGCTAATAATATTTAAAACTTTTCTCAATGTCAAACTGACAACTGGCCAATCAAAAATAGGTACAGCGAGGATTATGATTGCGCGTCGTGCAGTGGTCGTCTTGTAAAACTTTCTTAAAACACTAAATGGGCAGCGCTTACCGGACGGCCTACTGTATGTAAGTTTGTACATAAACAGTCAGAGTTAATAACTGATGAAGATAATATTAAGAATTAGTGTTGCAGCTAGCGGATTATTTAGAATAGAAAAAAACTATAGAGCTCATCCATATTATTCAATTTTCTTGACAAAAAAAAAAGCTGTGGGTCCATATCACGATATGCCTTCATAATTATGGTCATGATGTGATGTCATCGTGACCATATTTAGGTATATTTGAAAGTCTGGACACGATTTAATACATAGGTAGGCCTACTAAACTATGCGAGATTAAAAGTGTATGAAGGTGTTGGGTTTACATTAGGACATGCACACAAACAAAATTAATGTAATGGGCCTAAAACAACGGACAGGTTTAATAATGACAAAATAAATTGAAATCAAAAAATCAAAGGAAGATGGGACCCAAACCCACGCGTGCATAGGACAATGGCTTAGCAAACCATCACCTTAACCACCTCGTCTGCTTGAGGCTAAAATATTGGCTTCTGTAAGGAAATATGAGTATAGTGCAGAGCTAATATTTCATCGATATAGCATCATTACGTTTTTTGGTGATGAAATACAACTATAAATACATTTTTCCGTGAGTTATGTGATGTTTTATTTTAAAGTAAATTATAAATTAAAATAGACGTAGTACTCTTAAACTCGGCGAAATAATTATTTCAGGCAGTGTACACATTAATTTAAGTGTACGGCGCAGCATAAGACATTTTGAAGTGTCAGTCGTACTAACTGACCAATCAAAACGTGTTATTCAATAGGCATGGTTAGGAATTACTATGCGGTGCGGGATTTTGTCTAGTGGAATCTTATCAACGATACACAGGGGCCTGGTAAATAGATTATAAAATTTTCTGAATAAATATCAACAATTATTATTATTAATAATAAAAACAATTATTTTTATTATATACTTCGTGCAAGTCGTCATCAGATGATTCGGCACGGTTAAGTTGTTGCAAAGCAGACGACAGTGCTCGCAGTTTGTCATTCTTCTTCAGATAGATTTGCCACAAGTACGACAAACACCTTGCTTGCTCCACGTATATATTACTCACTTCACTCCTGCATTAACAAAAATGATAACAGTTATTTAGTGATTACTCCTACTATATAACGTACAATGTGGATTGGCTTTAAATTCTAAGGGGATCTTTTTTTTTTGTCAAATCCCTTTTTTAGAGCGAGTGCCCTCTCATAAATAAAACTCTTTGCATCAAAAACATCAACGTGCATCATTTACATATTAATGCTCCAACTCCAAGAGTTTCGTCCCAGACCCCATATGGGGTTTTCTTTATTACGGAATTCGTTTTGGGTTATATTTCTTAATTTATTCACATCCAACAGCAAGCAACTCGCCAATTCAGGATGGACGATGCTTTAGCGAAAAGCAAGTCTCTTATGAGGCTTAGGAATCGCATGAGCATCGAGAGAAATAGTCACAGCAATTGAACCCAGGGCCCTGGGATTAGATGGCAGACAAGCCTAAGCTATTCAATTCCACTTTGTTTTATTATCATTAATATAGGTCTCCCTCTAATTAAAGACCTCTCCAATTAAAGACCAACTCAAATTAAAGACCATTTCTTTTGTGGTCCCAAATTAACAAATGTCTTTTATCTTTATTGTTCTAATTAGAGACCAAAGCTGCTAAAGACCATGGAAACCCCGGTCACAAAAGTGGTCTTTAATTAGATGGAGACTTGTAATAGTAGTATAGGCTCATCATTAATATTACACAGACATTATAACAGTTCGAAGACAATAACTTACGAAGCACGTCCGATGAAACAGTTTGGAAATTTTCTGTGGGCAAATTGTTTAATTCCTTCGAGCATGATCTTAAAGCGTGTCAAAATTAAGACATTACGCTGTCGATTTCCAAGAATCCGCAGAGCTGACAAAAAATGGATTTTGGATTCATCATAACGGCCCATTTGGAATATTGCCTATTGAAATACAAAGAAAGACATTTTATTCAAGTTAATTGTAGATCTAGTAGGTCAAGAACGGATCATATATTTTGTTGTATTTAATTCCCTACCAATTGCCGTGCCATATATAACCCGATTTTATTTTAATTTGTATATAACTTGTGTATTAATTTCATTATTAATGAAACTACCTTTTACATTTTTAAAATACAATTGTCAAAAATCAATTATTTTATTCAATTAATGGGACACTTTCGCCAAACTGATAGGCCTGATAATATGTGAATGCATATATCATGTCTATAGTAAGCAGACGAGGTGGCCGAGTGGTTAAGGCGATGGACTGCTAATCCATTGTGCTCTGCACGCGTGGGTTCGAATCCCATCCTCGTCGTCTTTTTATTTTTGTATCATTTTTTTGTCATGTTGCTGTGTTTATTGGTTTGCATGTTTTTCGTATTTTTGTTAATGTTGGAATACAATTTTTTAATTCTATGAATGATGAATGAACTGTGTTTATTGGTTTGCATGTTTTTCGTATTTTTGTTAATGTTGGAATACAATTTTTTAATTCTATGAATGATGAATGAATGAATGAATGAATGAATGAATGAATGAATGGATGGATGAATGAATGAATGAATGAATGATTGAATGAATGAATGAATGAATGAATGAATGAATGAATGAATGAATGAATGAATGAATGAATGAATGAATGAATGAATGAATGAATGAACGAATCAATCAATCAATCAATCAATCAACTAAATATTTTGTTAATCTTATATGTTTTACTTTGGTTGTATTTTTAGTTATAGCAACAATATTTCAAATTATTTCAATAATATAGTCGCGTATAAAGTGTATATAAATATCACACAATTTAATTCTATAAATGAATGAATAAATGAGTGAATGAATGAATAAATGAAAGAACGAACAAACGAGCAAACGAACGAATAAATCAATCAAACAATCAATCAACTATTTATTTTGTTAATTTTATAATATTTTACTTTGGTTTTATTTCTTGTAATAGCAACAACATTTTAAATTATTTAAATAATATGGTCGCGTATATTATATTAGTGTATAATTATAAAACAGTCACTTCAGTATCATTTCTTTAATATGTACAATGTCTCATAAATTCACACTCGTTCCTAAATATAGTTGCGCTTAAATTATTATTTTTTTAATAAAATGTCGCCAAACTCACGGAAAAAATGTAAACCATATATAACCCACCAGGAGCACAATGGTAAAATACCGACGCAATGTTCGCTGCAATAGACCAATAGGCCTATTTTGTTTACACAAGCCAGTATTTGCTAGCAGTAAGCAGACGAGGTGGCCGAGTGTTTATTGGTTTACATCATTTTCGTATTTTTGTTTATGTTTGAATGCATTTTTTTAATTCAATAAATGAATGAGTGAATGAGTGAATGAATGAATGAATGAATGAATGAACAAATAAATCAATAAATAAATCAACTAATTATTTTGTTAATCTTATATTTTACTTTGGTTGTATTTCTGCTATAGCAACAACATTTTAAATTATTTAAATAATATGGTCGCGTATAAAGTGTATATAAATATCAGTCACTTCAGTATCATATCTTTAATGTGTCCAATGCCTCATAAATATTCACCTCGTCCCTAAATATATTTCTGCTTAAATTATTATTTTTTTAGTAAAATGTCGTCAAACTTAAGGAAAAATACGTAAACCACAAACACAACGGTGAAATACAAACGCAAGGTTCTCTGCAAGAGACCAGTATTTCGTTTACACAAGCCTGTATTTGTTAGTAAGCAGACGAGGTGGCCGAGTGGTTAAGGCGATGGACTGCTAATCCATTGTGCTCTGCACGCGTGGGTTCGAATCCCATCCTCGTCGTCTCTTTATATTTGTATCATTTTTTGCCATGTGCTGTGTGTTTGCATGATTTTCGTATTTTTGTTTATGTTTGAATGCATTTTATTTAATTCTATAAATGAATGAATAAATGAGTGAATGAATGAATAAATGAAAGAACGAACAAACGAACGAATAAATCAATCAATCATTAAACTAATTATTTTGTTAATTTTATAATATTTTACTTTGGTTTTATTTCTTGTTATCGCAACAACATGTTAAATTATTTAAATAATATGGTCGCGTATATTATATTAGTGTATAATTATATAAAAAAAATCAGTCACTTCAGTATCATTTCTTTAATATGTACAATGCCTCATAAATTCACACTCGTTCCTAAATATAGTTCCGCTTAAATTATTATCTTTTTAATAAAATGTCGCCAAAATAACGGAAAAAAATGTAAACCATATGTAAACCACCACGAGCACAATGGTAAAATACCGACGCAATGATCTCTGCAATAGACCAATTATTAGGCCTATTATAGGCCTATTTTGTTTACACAAGCCAGTATTTGCTAGCAGTAAGCAGACGAGGTGGCCGAGCGTTTATTGGTTTACATGATTTTCGTATTTTTGTTTTTGTTTGAATGCATTTTTTAAGTCTATGAATGAATGAGTGAATGAGTGAATAAATAAATGAATGAATGAATGAATGAATGAATGAATGAATGAATGAATGAATGAATGAATGAATAAATGAATGAATGAATGAATGAATGAATGAATGAATGAATGAATGAATGAACGAACAAAGAAATCAATCAATCAATCAACTAATTATTTTGTTAATCTTATATATTTTACTTCGGTTGTATTTCTGTTATAGCAACAACATTTTAAATTATTTAAATAATATGGTCGCGTATAAAGTGTATATAAATATCAGTCACTTCAGTATCATATCTTTAATGTGTCCAATGCCTTATAAATATTCACCTCGTCCCTTAATATAGTTCTGCTTAAATTATTATTTTTTTAGTAAAACGTTGCCAAACTTAAGGAAAAATATAAACCACCACAAATACAACGGTGAAATACCGACGCAATGTTCTCTGCAAGAGACCAGTATTTTGTTTACACAAGCCAGTGTTTGTTATTAAGTAGACGAGGTGGCCGAGTGGTTAAGGCGATGGACTGCTAATCCATTGTGCTCTGCACGCGTGGGTTCGAATCCCATCCTCGTCGTCTCTTTCTTATTTATCATTTTTTGCCATGTTTCTGTGTTTATTGGTTGCATGATTTTCGTATTTTTGTTTATGTTTGAATGCATTTTATTTAATTCTATAAATGAATGAATAAATGAGTGAATGAATGAATGAATGAATGAATGAATAGATGAATGAATGAATAAATGAAAGAACGAACGAAAGAACGAATAAATCAATCAATCATTAAACTAATTATTTTGTTAATTTTATAATAGTTTACTTTGGTTTTATTTCTTGTAATAGCAACAACATTTTAAATTATTTAAATAATATGGTCGCGTATATTATATTAGTGTATAATTATTAAAAAAAAATCAGTCACTTCAGTATCATTTCTTTAATATGTACAATGCCTCAAAAATTCACACTCGTTCCTAAATATAGTTGCGCTTAAATTATTATTTTTTTAATAAAATGTCGCCAAAATAACGGAAAAAAATGTAAACCATATGTAAACCACCACGAGCACAATGGTAAAATACCGACGCAATGTTCTCTGCAATAGACCAATAGGCTTATTTTGTTTACACAAGCCAGTATTTGCTAGTAAGCAGACGAGGTGGCCGAGTGTTTATTGGTTTACATGATTTTCGTATTTTTGTTTTTGTTTGAATGCATTTTTTAATTCTATGAATGAATGAGTGAATGAGTGAATGAATAAATGAATGAATAAATGAATGAATAAATGAATGAATGAATGAACGAACGAACAAATAAATCAATCAATCAATCAACTAATTATTTTGTTAATCTTATATGTTTTAATTCGGTTGTATTTCTGTTATAGCAACAACATTTTAAATTATTTAAATAATATGGTCGCGTATAAAGTGTATATAAATATCAGTCACTTCAGTATCATATCTTTAATGTGTCCAATGCCTTATAAATATTCACCTCGTCAAATATAGTTCTGCTTAAATTATTATTTTTTTTAGTAAAACGTTGCCAAACTTAAGGAAAAATATAAACCACCACAAATACAACGGTGAAATACTGACTCAATGTTCTCTGCAAGAGACCCAGTATTTTGTTTACACAAGCCAGTGTTTGTTATTAAGTAGACGAGGTGGCCGAGTGGTTAAGGCGATGGACTGCTAATCCATTGTGCTCTGCACGCGTGGGTTCGAATCCCATCCTCGTCGTCTCTTTCTTATTTATCATTTTTTGCCATGTTTCTGTGTTTATTGGTTGCATGATTTTCGTATTTTTGTTTATGTTTGAATGCATTTTATTTAATTCTATAAATAAATAAATGAATAAATGAGTGAATGAATGAATGAATGAATAGATGAATGAATGAATAAATGAAAGAACGAACGAAAGAACGAAAAAATCAATCAACCAACTAATTATTTTGTTAATTTTATAATAGTTTACTTTGGTTTTATTTCTTGTAATAGCAACAACATTTTAAATTATTTAAATAATATGGTCGCGTATATTATATTAGTGTATAATTATTTAAAAAAAATCAGTCACTTCAGTATCATTTCTTTAATATGTACAATGCCTCATAAATTCACACTCGTTCCTAAATATAGTTCCGCTTAAATTATTATTTTTTTAATAAAATGTCGCAATAATAACGGAAAAAATGTAAACCATATGTAAACCACCACGAGCACAATGATAAAATACCGACGCAATGATCTCTGCAATAGACCAATTATTAGGCCTATTATAGGCCTATTTTGTTTACACAAGCCAGTATTTGCTAGCAGTAAGCAGACGAGGTGGCCGAGTGTTTATTGGTTTACATTATTTTCGTATTTTTGTTTTTGTTTGAATGTATTTTTTAATTCTATGAATGAATGAATAAATGAATGAACGAACGAACAAATAAATCAATCAATCAATCAACTAATTATTTTGTTAATCTTATATGTTTTACTTCGGTTGTATTTCTGTTATAGCAACAACATTTTAAATTATTTAAATAATATGGTCGCGTATAAAGTGTATATAAATATCAGTCACTTCAGTATCATATCTTTAATGTGTCCAATGCCTTATAAATATTCACCTCGTCAAATACAGTTCTGCTTAAATTATTATTTTTTTTAGTAAAACGTTGCCAAACTTAAGGAAAAATATAAACCACCACAAATACAACGGTGTAATACCGACGCAATGTTCTCTGCAAGAGACCAGTATTTTGTTTACACAAGCCAGTGTTTGTTATTAAGTAGACGAGGTGGCCGAGTGGTTAAGGCGATGGACTGCTAATCCATTGTGCTCTGCACGCG